GGTGGAAAGGGGAAAGTAAGAGATCAAATGCTGGCGTTTGTTTTCTGTGTGAGATTGGGATAATGGCTTCGTTTTCATAGTTAGTGAAGAAGTAAAGCAAGTTTCCTCAAACCTCTTTTCTGGACTATTGTGAAGCTAAGCTAGAACACTCTCCGGCTTTGAGTTGGAGACTTTCTCAGAGGGTTCCAGGTACCAAGTAATTGCTGTTGGAAGTTTAAACTTCCAAGACCATTCTTCCAGACTTCCCAACCATGTAGTCACTACATTGGGTCTTCAACATGCCCTATAATGCATCTGTCTGGGTAAGTATGGCATTCAGTTGTTTGGAGTGTGGAAAATCAGGGCCATCAGCGAAGTTTGTGTTGTTTTAACTGGTAATCATTCTTTCTTTGAACCTGAATTTAGACCTATTTAATACAGCATATATTCTGGCTCTTTGGGTTTTGGGATTTTATTTATTTTTTTTTTTTTTTAAATTTTGAATATTAATCCACAAAACACATCACAGGAATTCAGGTTCTTGAGACAGATATCTTGCATTTCATTAACAACACCTCACATGGATACAGTTTCGCAGACTTGCAGTCTGTGATCTGTGCTTACTGATGTTACTGTCCACAACTTATAGCTGATTGAAGGTACTATACTGACTGTGTATACAGATTAGAGTGAATGTGAAATGGGTACCTTTATGCCAAAATGCCACATTGTGATGTTATGTAACTGTCTTAGAGATGTAGGCCAGAGTGCTTATGAGGATGCACGTACACAATAATCTCTACATTGAAATAACACCATGGTGATTTACACAACATGATCAGATCTAGTCCTTATTGACTAATTGCAACTTGCCATCTAGCTTCATTCTGGCGCATTTCTGCAGATGAATATATATCACTTGGTATCCGTTGTCTGGCATTATATTTTGTGTCCGAGTCACCATCTTGTGTGATATGCAATCTGGATGTGTTGACTCTATACACACTCCACCCGTTCTCTCTCTCTCTCTCTCTCTCTCTCTCTCTCTCTCTCTCCTTTCCCCCCCACCCCAACACCCCCACAGACTTGACACAACGATGAATAACTTTCCAGGGACCGATGTGTTCATATAGGAATCTCAAACTCCAACTTGGTTCAAGTTGGGATAACTGTTTGTTTGCTTGTTGACTGTACTGTTGTATTATTTTCTCCATTATTTAGAGCAGCAGTACATAGATTTAACAGCTATCCAAAACAAGCTGTTTTATATTTGATAATCATAGATCTTACGATGTGAATGGTGTGCTGAGATCAGTCAACTGAGGATAGCAAGAGGTCATATGTTGCACACCCCATTTCCGGTGCATGTCTTGGAAGGGTACACTATTGTACCGCTAGAATACTGCAAACTGTTTGTTGCGCACAACTTGAGGTATGCCAAACAATGTGTTAACAGCTATTGTACTGTATCTTTGATTTGTTGCACAAAAGCATCAGCCTCGATATTGCATAAAAGAGAATCTCATTCAGAAAGTGAAGTTCTTTTGATTTGTTGAGATTGATAGAATTGGCGCATTTCACACAAATTGATTAATACAGACAGAAATCACTTGGAAAAGCTCAGTAGGTCTGGCAGCATTTGTGCAGAGAAATGAGAGTAAATGTTTCGGGTCAAATGACCCTTCCTCAGAACCTTCAGAAGGATCACTTGACCTGAAACATTAATTATGATTTCTCTCCACAGATGCTGCCAGATCTGCTGAGCTTTTCTAGCAATTTTGTTTTTCTTTGTTTCTGTTTCTGATTTTATAGCATTTGCAGCTTTCAGTTTTGATCTTAAAAGGATATTGCTCAACTGATGCTGGACCAAAATGCATTCATTCACATGCTAGTCTGTTGGATTTTTCTTTTCTCATGTGACCTATGTTAATACAATCGAGCATACCTTGATGTAGAGCTTATGGAATAACCACAAATTTGCCTTTGATTATATTTTTGGAGCATACTAGTTACACTCTTTCTGGTCAGATGATCACTTTGGGGACCTGCAGGATGCATTCGGTCCACCTGTTGATGATAGTTGTCTTGAGCTGGTGCAGTTTGCTGAATCTGCTCTACTTCGCTGTGACTCAAATGTATGAGATTGTTGTGGCCTGGAATCTATGGTGCTACAACTCTTGGATCGCAAAATATATTGATCTGTATGTACTGGTAGGTAGATAATAGCTAGAGCAGCTGTTCTTGGACATCTGAAACACTTTATATTCTATCTAGCAGATCCACGTTGCATTTGATATGTATTGTGCCAATGCATGAAAAGTCAAATGGATTACAAGCAGGTGCCTTGTCTTGTGTCTTGTATAAGATGCATAAAGGGATGATATTTGTCTTGGCATATAGAGACTATAACATAGGAGCAGAAGTAGGCTTATTTGGCTTATTGTGTCTGCTCTTTAATTCAGTGAGATCATGGCGAATTTGATAATCGTCATCTCCACCTCAACTCCTTTCCAGCTCTAAGAAGATGTTATTAACTTGATACTGGGCTGGCAACATGGCCTTTGAGGCTTGCACTCAAGTCTGGATAAAACAATATCTATCCTGCTAATTATGCTGTCTGTCATCTTCTATATGGCTTTAAAATCTGGGCTACGCATTGCCACCTCCAGGCCCTTGTAAGTACCATTTTGATGCAGTTTTGAGTTGAATTCTCCACATCAGCAGCTGGGAGGGCAGATTTACTGACTTGGTGTGCTCAAAGCCAATAGCACCAGCATTGAGGCCACGTTCGTCCAAAGCCAATTCTGCTGGGCTGGCCTCATGCTTAAGATGCCTGAGCATCCAACTGCCAAAGTAAGTCGTCTTTGCCCAGCTCAAGAAAAGCATTTGAATAAGAGGAGGACAAAGGAAGCATTTCAAAGATTCTCCTGAAAGCTTCCCTCAAGAAATGCAGCAAGGAAGCCAATATGGGGGAAACCTTTTTTTTTTTTTTTTTTTATTTTTTTGAGAAGAAACTGATCTGGAGGAAGCTTCTGTACGAACAGACACAATTCTTCAAGAACACCTGTAGGCAAGAGTATGGAAAAAGAACCAGATAAAGGAATACCAGCAAATTCAAGGCCAAGGACAAACTTCACACCCCAGAAACATCTGCTAAATGTGTGTCGGAGCTGCAGCTCTAGGACCAGGTTCATTAGCCACTCAGGGATCCACCGAACCCATGACCAGTGACATGGAATTTCCTAGATGGGCAGTCATACATCTTAACGTAAGACCAGTATATATTCCAATTTCCTCTCCCCACTTGAATGGCTTCCTGTGAGGCAATGTCACGAGCTGTTTGCTCATCTTCCCTGCAGCCCCCACTCTCATTCACACAGCTTGCAAGAACCTCCTATAGTGAATGGGCAATTGCATGGGTTGAGATTCCTTGAACACTACCCCCAGGTCTCTATGCCTGCCTTGCCTACAGTTGTATCTTCCTGTAGCAATGTGTAAATATAACATTCTCCCAACTGTAGGGCAATGTTTGCAGCTTGGATTCCAGCTTGTCAACTTCTTTCTGAAGTTTCTCAAGCTACAAACAGTTGATGCAGATTTGTTCTATGGATCACCTTGGTGTCCACCAGCAACACTTCTTCATCTCTCCTGTTAAAAGCATTCTGTACGATTTTGTTTATTAATTGCTGTAGAATCCTTGCCCTTTACGGTGAATGTTTCCCATTCCTTCTGAGGAAATCACTTGGGCAGAGAGCTAAAGTCTTTCGGCTTTCTGAAAACAACAAATGCTGGAGATGACAGCGGGTCGGGCAGCATCTATGGAGAGAGAGCAAGCGAACGTTTTGAGTCTAGATAACTTGAAACGTTAGCTTGCTGTCTTTCCATGCATGCTTCCGGACCCGCTGTGATCTCCAGTATTTGTTGTTTTCAGTACAGATTTCAGCATCTGCAGTAATTTGTTCCTCTTTCAGCTTTCTGACTGCTTCCATATGGTGTTTCAATTTCAGATGTACTGTCTGACTGCAGTCTGTAAGCTGTGTCATTGCTATTTTCCTTTTGGTGCTCAAGCATGTTGACTGTTCACGGACAAATGTTTTGGAAGTTTCTTTAGCACTGTGTTCTTTGGTTAGGTCTTTGCTCCACAAAAACACATTGTGTCTATTTTGGCTTTCTCTGGACAATTGGACTTCACAGTTTAGAGGCTTTGTTCTCTTTTTGGAAACATGGCTCTCAAAGGTCATGAAATGCTAGAGATTGATTGAGACAAACCAATGGGTGAGACTAACCAATCTCATACAAGATTTGGATGTTTTGAACCTGTTATGGCCGCGATAGTTCCAAGTCAAACACTTATAGATTCTGCTGACGTCTTCAGTAGGCCTGCAGGATGTCTTCCTAGATGCTTCAGTCATGAAAATTACAAACTATATATTGTTTTGTTTGTAACTCATAAAATATGCAATATTCTTACTAACCAGTTTCTGTGTGTCTGAGTACTGAGGAATATTTTTGGGATGCATGTGAACAAGTAATCCTCTTTATTTAACCCACGAAAAGGTTGAAAATTATTCAAATGTCCCCACACTCAAGACTTAAGAATCCTGCACCACTTCCTTTTTCAAAACACATTGGAAACAGATATTTGTTCTTTTCCCATCCCTGTCTATAGTAGTGTGGAATCTGTTTCCATAAGGCTTTGAAATGTGGATCCCAGATTATAACAACTTGGTCTGTTAAAACCTTCTCCGTTTGTAAGTGAAAAGTTTTTTTATGGTGGTTAGTGTGGTCTCAGTGATTGGCATTTAATGAAAATTGAATTTAATAATTCAAGGTCAGATATTTAAATTATATAATTAGATTTCTAGCTCTCAGGCTATTGGTGTGCCTTGGTGCTTTCAGTAATTTCTCTTTATCTCTATCCATTACTCTACTAACCTTTCATACATTAATCTTAGTTGTTTAAATATGTATGTTGTCATATCTCCTATGATATTATAAACTTGCTGCTTTTCATTTTCAAGGTTCTGCTTGTAAACGCTGCCTAATGTGACAAGATGGCAGAGGCAGACTGGGAGCTGAGTAAGGAGAACGTTCAGCCTTTGAAACAAGGCCGGGATGTGAGTACACTTCAGGATGTGCTCGCACAGCGTGAAGGTCTAAGTAATATCAGTATTCAAGAGCAGAAACTGTGAGTAATGTTGTTTATTTAGTTTTTGTTTTTGAGTGTAATTTGCTAGGGAGCAGGAAAGGGGGCTGGAGTGGAAGCACTGCGTTATTCAAACTTCAGAATAGTTCTAAATATAGGTAGAAAGGAACAAGCCACTTTTAAACACTTATGGCAAATGATTTTCTCAAATGGAGAGAACTAAGTAGATCATAGTTCTACCATGCAGATTATGCAATGTTGTAATTACACTGCTCTTCTTTTCATGTTTTCCCCTGCCTAACTACTCTAGATAAAGTTGTTCTCCTTAAATGCTTTCATCTGAGATGATGTCAGGTTAATCCGCATCCAAAGAACCTGCTCTGAAAATGCTCACAGTTTGACAACTGTGACAAATTCCACAGCGGCCAAGATTCTAAAACAATCAAAAACCTCTTTAAAACAAGTTACGACAACGTGTCCTATCTCCCAATGTTAAAAGACTCCTTGTTTTAAAAAATGTTCTAGATGCTTATGATAGTATTAGAAATAAACTAGTTTTGATTGTGATCTTTCTTTCACCCTACTTTCCTGGAAAAAAGGCTGCTACCTTACATCATAGTAATTGTTTGTACAATTAAGTTGCTTGCAAGCCAATCCAGGTGGTCCTGAAAGCGAGCTGTGTTGGATGGGTGTGAGTGCATCTTGCCCATGATGAGAGGGGCTTGCAGATTCCTTTTGATAGGCATTAGCACAACTTATGGCCTAGATAGGAACTGGCAGTTTTTGTGATCACTTTGCATGTCATCAGTCAGCAAGGCAGTAGATAGGTCGAAATTAGTTTCACGATTTGAAGCTATGACTGCTAGTTGCAAGTGGGGAAAAAATGCATGGCAGCTTTTAGTCAAACATTCATTTCATATCCACGTTCAGTAAATCGGACTATGCAGTCTGCTCTGAAAGTGGGGCATTGTCCATATTTGCTACATTATTCATCCCATAATCAACCATTTTGTATTGAATCTTCTAAGGAGGATAGCTTTGGTAATCTAACCAATCATCTGGATAAGCACGTCTGTTCCAAATGAAAGAACACTGCTTAAAAAATGGAAAAAGGAAGGTTGCTATCTTAGGGATGAGAGGGCAAGCTCATTACCAAAATACAGTCATAGTAGGAGAAGTCTATTTCTCCTGATCCATACAAGCAAGAAGCAATAGTAGGCCATGCGACCCTTTTTGAGTTCGTTCTACCATTCGATTAATATGACTAGTCAGGGATATGCAGGAATATAGAGTTGAGGTTAAAATCGGATTAATCTTTCACCCCTTTTTGATAATCACAAATCTATCTATCTCTGACTTTAAAAGATTTCTGCATCCACTGCCTTTTGAAGAAAGGAATTCCAAATGTGCTCAACCATAAATATGTTTTCCTCACCTGTTTTAAATGGGGAGTGCTTTTTTTAAAAAAAAAAAACAAAAAAAAAACCCCTAGTTCTAGAATCTCCCTCGAGGAAACCTAGTTTCTACATCTACTTGGTCAAGTCCTCTCAGGATCTTGTGTTTCAATTAAGTCACCTCTGACCCTTCTAAACTCCAGAGGATACAGGATGAGCTTTCCTTCCTTATAAAGTAATCGGCTCATTCCAGGTATTAGCGTGATAAACCTCTGAACTCTTTCAATGTATTAACATCCTTCTATAAGTGTGGTTACCATTACTGTAGATGTAGTCTCCTCAATGCCTGTATAACTAAGCGTAACCTCCCCACTCGTGCATTCAATTCTCATCATAATAAAACTTTAAATTCTATTAATTTTCCTGATTGCTTCTGTACCCATATGCTAACTTTCTGTTCCAGGGCACACCGGATCTGTCTGCATCTTAGAAGTTGGAACTTTTCACCATTTTAGAGAATGTTTGTTTGTTTTTCTTTCTTTCCAAAATGGAAAATTTCAAATGGAATATTTTGCACTTACCCACATTATACTCCTTGTCAACCATTGTCCATTCACTTATTTATTTATATACTTTACTTTTTTGAAGGGTCCTTATGCCTTTTTCACAACTCTCACATTTCCTACTATCTTTACATCAGCAAATGTCACCACCAGACTTTCAATCTCTTCATCCAAATAATTTATGTAAATTATAGAAAGTTAAGGCTCTAAAACTTACCTTTTTGTGGCGTACCACTCATGACATCCTGCTGATCTAATAAAGATCCACTATTTCTTACTCTGCTTCCTGTTAGCCAGCCAATCTTCTGTCCATGCCAATGTATTACGCCAGCACCATAAATTTTTATTTTCTGATGTAGCACCTTTTATTAGATGCCTTCTGAAAATCCAATACAGTACAGTACATCTATTGGTTCCCCTTTGTCCGCAGCACTAGTTACTACTTTAAAGACCTCCAATAAATTAAACATTATTTCCCTTTGACAAAACCATGTTGGCTGCCTGATTATAGAATTATATATTTAAAGGGCAGCATGGTGGCTTAGTGATTAGCACTGCTGCCTCAGCACCAGGGGCCCGGGTCGATTCCGCCCTCAGGCGACTGTCTGTGTGGAGTTTGCACGTTCTCCCCGTGTCTGCAAGGGTTTTCTCTAGGTGTTCCGGTTTCCCCCCCTCAGTCCAAAGATGTGCAGGCTAGGTGAATTGGCCATACTAAATTGCCCGTAGTGTTCAGGGTTGGGTGGGTTGAGGGAGATGGGATTGGTTTTCTCTCCAAGAAAACCAGTTCCAACTTGTGTCAATCGGCCTCATTTCTCTGGAACTATTCTTGTAAATCACTTGCGTTCTCTCTAATGCATTCACATCTTTTCTATAATGTGGCATCCTCAACTGTACGCAGTACTTCGGCTGAGGTCTAACAAGTGTCTTCTACAAGTTCAACACCACATCCCTGCTCTTGTACTCTATACCCCTGTTAATAAAGCTAAGTATGGTATATGCTTTACTAACTGCTGTCCCCACTTGTTCCGCTACTTTCAATGATCTGTGTGCATTTGTACCCAGGACCCTCTGCTCCTGTACCCACTTTGGAATTCTACCCTCTATTTTATATTGGCTTTGTTCTTCTACCCAAAATGCATCATCATCTCGTTTCTCTGCTTTGAACCTTGCCTGTCACCAAATTCCCACTCTTCCAACTTGTCATTGTCCTTTTTTGGAGTTCCACACTATCCTCCTCACAGTTTACAATTGATAATTACCTTGAACTTATCTAAGTGACCCGTTTTATAACATCTTTAGTAATAGCTTCTAACATTTTCCCTATGACCGATATTTAGCTAACTGGCCTGTATCTTCCTGCTTTCTGCCTCCTTCTTGAACAAAGTAGTTACATTTGGCTATCTTCCAACCTAAAGAAGCCTTCCCCAAATGTAATGAGTTTCTGAAAATTGAAATTAATGCATCAACTATCTCACTAGCTCTGATTTAGATCCTAGGATCAAATCCATCAGGACCCAGGGACATGTCCGCTCGGTTCCAATAATTACTTGGTGCTCCTTCCCTGCTAATTGAAGTTTTTCAATTGCTGATTTCTAGGATATTACTGATGCTTATTTTTCAGAACTAGTTACTCAGAACAGTTTACATCTTCTTCTTCTGTCATGGATTTAAGCCTGACCCTAACGTTCATGATCAAAATCCTACCCTTAACTTTCTAGCTTTTTTTTGGTAATGTTTGCCCTTCATTGCTTTAGATCACAAAGGACTTGCTGTTGTCCACCTGAAGATGTTGACTGACCTGTTTGTGTTCCCAGCATTTGTGGTATTTTATCTTTTTATTAGTATTTTGTAATTCCTGCTCAGAGGTTGCAATGATCTATTTGATCATTATTCCTATTACCTTGTTTGGTTAGATTTCCTTTTGTAGGATTTCATGCTTTCTCACAAGGCAAGTTAGACTGCAAACAGCTGTGTAAATGTGGGATAAAACCAGCCATTGTGTTGAAGGTCTTTCTCTATTAGCTGTCACAAATGCAGGCATTCTAGATTTATGATACATAATTGACACTAGAATCTTATTTAAAATTTTTCAAACAACTATGATGTCTCGCTTTAGACACCCTGGTCTTGAAACTCCATCAAGACCCACTTGGACGTGGACTGCCTCAGCAACTGCTCAAGTTCTTGTGGTTTAGCTTTCTTTCCTGGAATTCTTAAACTGTACTTACTGGTACAACTTTAACTTTTTCACAGCTGACTTCACCAAACTATACATCTTGCCAAGCTGATGCACTGAGCATTTGCTGCTTGTAGGTTTCAACTCCCAATCTCAACTGTTCTGAAGCATTATTTATGAGAAGGCTGGTTTTTGTGCCCTAACTCTAACACTTGGCTACCTACTAACTCCCCAGAGCACGACTGCGTAGAGTTTTGAAATTATTCTTCATTCGTCAAATAGACAGACGTCTTTTGTGGCCTTTTCAGCCATCCAGCTAAATAGTTCATTTCTACATGGCACTTCATGGTATGTCATCTTCTCCAATTGCCTGTGATCTGGGATCTGGACCGCATGAATTGTTTTTGTTTAGTCTACTAACCTTTACAACAAACCCTATCCTTGCTAAGCAGTATTGAATGTAACTAATATTTAGGAACAGTCAAATGTAGCAATGTCTTTGAACCGCCTGTTTCATGAATGTTATGATATTCACCGAGTGCCGGATCCAACAGCATAAAACGCATTCCTTTTTCTAAAAAAAAATTCTTCACATTCTGTTGACTCTAAGCTAATTCTGAACCAGTTGTCTGTGAACATCTGCCAGTATGCACAAAATATTTTGTCATCTTGGTTCTCTGCGTGCAGTTGTTGTGGTAAAAGATATTTAAAATTTTTTCCTGTGATACATGTGTTGCTGGCAAGGCCTGACTTGCCCACTGCAAAGATGGTGTTAATGAACCTTTTCTTGAGCCATTGCATTCTGTATAACTAGTTTAATCCATCAACAATAAAGAAACAATGATGCATCTCTAAGTCAGGATGGCATCTGACTTGGAGGATAACTTGGTATTTTTATGCTCCAGCTACCTGTCCTTCCTCGGAATAAGCAATGATTCTTCTCGGCTTACTAAGCGCATTGTTAATATCATGCAGAGCAATAAAAAAATATGGTTGCCTTATAGTTTTCTACATCCTGGATGTCTAACTTGCAGTTATTTCATAGTGCTTAAATAGTCATGTCACTGTATGTGGATGCCTGCCAATGTTTATCTTAGTTAGCAATGTCATTTCATTATAAGTACTCTTCTTTTCCCAGAGCCTTTGAGGCAGAAATCCGATTTTATTCTGGTAATGACCCTCTAGATGTCTGGGACAGGTAAGTGGTTAGATTTTCAATCCATTGCTTCACTAGAAAGAATTTGGGGCTTCATGTTATCCTAGAAATTACATTTCCTGTAAGGTCTGTTTATTTCAACTAGATTTATGTCGCAAAAATGAAATCATAATTTGATTATCAAATGATTGTGTAGCTAGAGAAATGACACAGGAGGGCAACTTCAGTTTTCTGGGCCAATGGGACCAGTTCTGAGACAGGGCAAAGGTATTTAACATAGATACTTGAACCTTAATATGGCTGGAACACAAGTGTTTTGAGGAAGTAGAGATTAGGCATCAAGATGAAACAGGAAATCCAGCTGCACCAGAAGCTGAAACAAAGATCTATAGAATAAAGTGCTTTTGGAAGAATCTAGGGAGGAAAATAACAAGCTAGTTCAAGATGGGTTTAGACTAAATGTAAATGAAATGTGTTTAGTGTGTTCAGATGAGGCAGTGCTGTAGTGGAATTATCACTAGATCATTTAATCCAGAGACCGAGGTAATGTTCTTGAGACCTGGGTTCAAATCCCACCTTGGTAGATGCTGGAATTTGAGTTCAGTGAAAGTCTGGAATTAAGAGTTTAACGGTGACTATGAAACCATTGGTAATTGTCAGGAAAATCATCTGGTTCACTAATTCCCTTCTTGGAAGAAAACTACTGTCCTTACCTGGTCAGGCCTGTGTGTGACTCCAGACTCTTGACTACCCTCTGGACAATTAGAGGGTGATAAAGCTGACCTGGCCAGCAACGTCTCCACTAGATTAGTAGCTATTTATTTTAAATCTTAAATGGTGTTTCCCATTCAAGTGTGGGACCAGTTATGAACAAAAAGTAGCATATCTTCAGTTCTACATCCACAAGTGTCGAATGTTTTTGCAGCATCCATTTTCCTCAAGGTCAATGCAGTGTAGCGCTAAAAAAAGTGTACAATGTTTACATGAAATTTTAAAATTGAAAAGGAAGTACTTTTCTTTTTAGAAGCACAAAAATGATGTCTTGCACTCCTGTAGGATCTAAAGTCAAAATTGACATTTCAGTTACAGTTGGGATTGTTCTTGTTGCACCCTCATTTGCAAATAGAGGGATACGACTGGTGATTATAGGCCAGTTAGACAAATATTGATTTGTGAATTTTTTTTGCGCATTAATACAAGCCAGAATTATTTGTGACTTGTGGTACCTCATTTGACATAATATTAAAATTGCCATGAATTTGTTAAAGTAAAATAGTGCTTAACGAACTTGAGTTCTTTTGAACTATGACAGAGGATTGTCAAAAGGTTTTTGATAAAGTATCACAATAATTAGCAAACTTTAAATCCCATGGACATGTGTTTACAAAGTTAGGTAAGAGGCAGACATCTGTAATGAAAATCCTTTTTCCGGGTGGAAGGAGAAAAACAAATGGTGTTTCTCCAGAGGCTCATAGTAGGATCAGTGCTCTTTTTTTTTTTTTGTTTTTTTTTTTAAATTTGTTATTTACCTGGCTAGCCAGCATAATTTCTTTTAATTGACTTTTAAGTCCCATACGATGGAGAGGACAACTGGTGAAATGTGCAGCCAAGTAGCAGATGGTATTTAACAGAAAAATGTCAGATGATTTTTGATGGAAAGAGTAGGGAAACATAGTATGTTTAAACTGGTAAAATATTAAAGGAGGTTGAGGAACAGAGATCTAAATTTCATATAAGAACATATGAACAGAAGAAAATCCATTCAACCTGCTTTTGTGGCTCAGTGGTTAGCACTGCTGCCTCACAGCACCAGGACCCGGGTCCAATTCCATCCTCCGGCAATTGTCCGTGTGAAGTTTGCACGTTCTATCCATGTCTGTGTGTGTCTCCTCCATCTGTCCAAAGATGTTCAGGTTAGGTAGATTGGCTGTGCTAAATGGTCCAGTAGTGTCCAAGGTGGGTTAGGCAGGGGAAATTGGGGTTATGAGGATAAGATAAGGATGGATGGGTCTGGGTGGGATGCTTTTCGGAGTTTCGGTGTGGACTCGATGGCCAGGGATTCTGAATTTGATCATAGGTGATCATCTACATCATTGCCACGCTACTGCTCTTTTTCCATGTCCATTGGGTGTAATTATTATCTGGAAATCCCTTGAACACTCAATGACCTGGCCTCCACAGCCCTCTAGTGTAGAAAATTCCAAGGATTCACCACCATCGGAGTGAAGAAATTACTCCTCATTTCACACTGAAGACCTTGCTTTTGAGTTCATCAGCCAAGGGGTGTACGTACATAAATCTTTGAAGATGGCAGGGCTTGTGAAAACTTAGTTTTTAAAAAAAAAAAAGGATCCCTTGACTTTATTAAGAGATGGAGTACAAAATTGAGGAAATTGTGCAAAATTTTGTTTAAAAACCATTTTGGGACTTATCCAGAATATTGTTGAGTTTTTTTTTCATTTTGCTTCATGAACGACTTGAGGCTTTTTAGAAGGTGTTTGTTAGAACTGTTCTGGGGATGAGGAACCCCTTCTGGAGTATTATGTCTAGTTCTGGTCACCCTGTTGTAGGAAGATATTAATCTGGAAAGTTCAGAAAAGATTTACCAGGATGTTGTTAGGGATGGAGGGTTTGAGCTATAGGGACGGGCTGGGACATTTTTCACTGCAGCATAGGGGTGCCCCTGCAAAAGTGTATAAAATCATGAAGTATAGATAAGGTTAACGACAGGTGTCTCTTCCCTAGGGTGGGAGATTTCAAAACTATGGGGCATATTTTTCAGGTGAGAGGAGGAAAAATTTTAAAGACATGAGTGGCAACTTTTTTTAGTGTGGTTCACACGACGAATGAACATCCAGAGGAAGTAGTGGAAGCTGGTACAGTTACGCTTAAAAGATATTTGGATAAGTACAAGATTTAGAAATGTTTGGAGATAGATCGGCCAAGCACAGGCAGGTGTCTTAGTTTAAGTTGGGATTATGGTGGGCATGGACTGCTTGGACCAAAGGATCTGTTTTGAGCTGTATGACTCAATGATTTCTAAAAGAGAATAGAGGCTGTGGGTTGGTCCTAGCAGTGGAAGGTTTGTTGAAATCATGTAGTTTTTAGATGTGGTTTTCAGAGGCAGAAGAATCCGTAATCACAGCGCACTGCTTTCAGGTTATCGGCAAAAGAGCCAGAACTGACATAAGGAATTTTTTTTCGTTTTGTATGATCTGAAAATACACTGAATTTTGTTTTGGACTTTACATTAAAAGAGAATTTCATAAATTCTTGAAGGAGAAACAATTATTGGTCTCTGGACAAAGATAAATAGCATTAACTCGAGCAAAATTTGTGTAGGCCAATAGGTTAAATGGAGTTCTAGGCTCACTTGTGAACTGCCTTATTCTGATTTTTAAACGTACTATGTGAATTTTTGCATAGCACTCCAACTCTGTGATCCACAAAGAAGTGCAGTAAGCTGAAATGTCCAAGTGCTTAAAAGTTTTGAAACTTTCTATTGCTTTTTTTTGGCTTTGTTTGTTTTCAACAGATATATCAAATGGACTGAACAGATGTTTCCACATGGTGGAACAGATAGTAATCATTTAGCTCTATTGGAAAGGGCTTTGAAACTCTTCCTGAAGGATGATCGATATTACAGCGATCTGCGGTACCTTGGTCATTGGTTAAAGTTTGTAAGTGAGCTTTTTGTTTACTGAATCTTAGATGATTATTGCAGTCTTGAGTCGTCTTCATTTCTTGCCTATTTGTAATATTGTTAATATTTAATAATAAATTAACTGCTTTTTTTATTTTTATTCGACTTTGAGGTTTTTTTTGGATAACTATTTCTTAAATTTCTCTCTGGTTTTGCCTCATGGTGGTAATAATAGTTATGACCGAAACCACCAATGTTCCAGTACTTGAGATTACACAATAAAAGTTATCATTGTGATATTAATGATTAAAAAATCAATCAGGTTCCTGTTGTTCACTGTTAATATAGAGTGAGAGTGCTAGCTCTGATCCACCATCTTGCTTCTCTCTCTTAACCATTGGCTGCTTGTTCACCTTTTCCTTCAGCCACTGTGATACCTTCCCTAAAGTTGGTTAAATCCTCTGAATTATCCTAAATAAAATGATCTCTTCAATTATAAATATTAAAATAAAAGAACTGGGCAGGTAATCAAATACCAAGGCTACATTGATGAAATGGGGAGAGTATTTATAAATGAGAACTTGTTTGCAGAATTGCTAGCCTCACTTTACTCTAGTTTGCAGGGGTCAGAAGTATCAAAAACCCTGCACATTTTCTGTCTATAAAAATGAGCATCCAATTGTCTGCTACTTCAACATGCCATGTTCCCATGCCAACATTTCTGTTTCGGGCTTGCTACGGTGTTCCAGCGAGCCTTGGTGCAAGTACCCAGCCCCACTCTGGTCCCATCATGGCATAGGTTGCTTTTAACATAGCCGACACATTCTCATTACCCTTGTTTTAACATACATAGTTTGGTTTCAGCACAGCCCAATCCGTTTTCCCCCTGTTCTCAGCACTCTGTCACTTTAGCTTCTGTTCTGTCATATCCTACTTTTCATAATCTCCTCATCTGCCTACTCCTTTCTTATCTCTGTCACCTATTGGCTCACGTCTCATCACCAACATCCACACCCTTCCCTCCCCACCCCACTACCATCACCACCTCTTCGGTGCAAATAAAACGTTTTCTTAGTGGCTATTAGTTCGGATGAAGAGTCATCAGTCTCGATGTTAACTTTGCTTTCTTCACACAGATACTGCCAGACTTAGAGTTTCACCAGCAACTTCTGTTTTGTATCGAAAGCCCTACGTTGCCTATTCAAACAATTGGTTTACCTGTTAATTCACTGTCTCAGCGATGAGCTTCCAATACAAAATTGCTAAAATCCTTTCCTTTCTCTTACAACATTAATTGCTTCCAGGTTGACTACTGTACTGACCCACTAGAAATGTTTGACTTCTTAAAGAGCAAAGGAATCGGTGTATCACACGCTGCTCTTTATGTTGCTTGGGCTGAACGGTTTGAACTTCTAGGGAACAACAAAAAGGCAGAAGCTATCTTGCAAGAAGGCATTCAGCTCAATGCTGAACCAGTGGAAAAACTGCAGCACCATCTGAGGTAACTACTATCCGTGATAAGTCTAAGAAGGGTGTATTTTATTTCTGTTACCATTTGGGCAGAATTGCTGGCTAAAAGATTGAGTGAATAAAATTGCCTATTATTTTAAAGGTTAGATATTGAATATGGTATCTGGATTGAGATCTGTAGGACTGTTTGCCCTGAAACCCCAGGAGGTATATTTGCTGCCCAAACAGTCACATTCCCATGATTTTTTTTCCGAAATTTTTTTTGATTATCCATGTCACCAGTAACCTATCACCATATTTATATTTAGAAAAAACTGCCCTTTCCATAGCCCTCAACTTGGATTTTTTAAAATCTGTTTTGGATGTTGGTTGATCACTACCCTAATCCCACTTGCTGCCCCTCTTACCATCCTCTGAACACTTGAGACTTCACTGATTCAGCCACTGTCCCTCTTCCTGCCGGATTGCTCGAGCAGTACAGTGAACAGGGGCAAAAACAATGCCATCAGTAGCAGCAACTTCCTGTTCCAGTGGTGGCAGGAGATACCCGACAGATGAAGTAGCATTTAGGGCAAGAGAAACTATTTAGTGATTCATCAGAAATGGAAAATATTTAGAGATGTGATTGGTTTTAAGCAAATGAGGGGAAAGGTGATGAAAATATCCAAAGTAATTCAATTGGAAGGCAGGAGAGATTAAATGATTGACCATGGTATATCAATTCAGACCAGTGATCCAATCAGTCACTTTGGATTATGTATCTAGTTTCCAAGGTGAAGTATCTGAATTATCCATCATCTACATCAGGGAGTATCGGCTAGTGCATGGGCTTCTGTGACTGTACAGAAGGACACTCTTCTTGCTATGGTCATCAAGGGCTGTTGTAATTGGTACATTATATTTTTTGTTCTCAGGCACTTTCAATCCCGAGTATTTAAACAGGTTGTGGCCTCCATAGCTGAAGGAACAAATGAAGACTCAGTTCCTGAGTCAACTCAACAACAAAGAACTAGTCTTGGAGATCTGAAACGGCGTGGACAAAAGAAAGCCATGGCACCTGTCAAGAGGGTTGGCGGTGCAGTGAGATGTAAGACCGTTTCTGTCTTTGTCCCATGCCCTCCCCCTCCTTGCTCTCACTACAGAGGAGAAACAAAGGGTAGATGTCAAAGCTGGAAAAAAAAAATCACAGGGTGCCTAATCTCTATGTAATTGGTTTATAATTTCTGAAATTGATTTCTACGTCTTATCCATGGCCATGGTATCGTTCCTAAAGTGTGGTGCCCTGAATTAGACACTTCCAGCTGAGATTCAATCAGCAATCAATTAAGATTTGCCTTCATTTCCTTCCTTCAGTCTCTTTACACATTTCCATGCTCTCTCTCCTCTTCCTCTGATGCACTGCTGAGTTTAAATTGTGTTGGAGAAACCGTTTTCTTGTTGCGTTTAAGTTGTAACTAAATTAGTAATGAGGATGTATTGATTATGGAGGGTGATTTTTTTTTTTTATTTCTTTTTCTCTCTCTCTCCTCCGCCACCCCCCACCCCCCCACCCACCAACCCCTGCTATTTATTTATGGATGACTGAGGTTTTTTTGGTTTTAGCACTAAACCAAGGACTTGGCCACTATGTGGCTCCTGCTCAGGAGCAGAGTGGTACCTTTGAAGTGTTCAATGAAAATCGATTGGACACCCAACCTGTAGAACAACTGAGATCAACAGAGAAGCAGTGGTCTACACTTCCTTCAACTTCTGCTAAAGAGAACGAAATTGTTCCAGGACCCTGGAATACATCTGGAATGCGGGTCAGTGGAATAGGATGTTTTTAAACTAATTATAGTGAAATTTACCATCCCAGAATAGGTTATGGAAAGGAGGCTTAAAATTGTGAGACCCATGAGGGGTGCTGAAGTATTTTCCCTAACCCCTCTGCTGGGGTTTACCAGCACGGGTGAGGTATTAGTGACCTGTCTGTACTGTGACCTACTAGTTCAGCTGGTATTTAATTAATGGTAGCATATCCATTGTGTTGTCCTGGCAGCCTTGATGTGCTTGGTGGTGGGGGTGTCCCTCCCTCCTTTATTCCCCAACCTCCTTTGCCAACTGTCATCTTTCTCCCATCATCTTTCGGGCCTAGGTATGACTCCAGTGAACGCAACTAATCCTGGTTCTCTTCTGGGGCTAGAGTTGTTGGCCACTTTATTAACCATGTGGCTGCAGGCAAATTCCAGCTGTCAAATCAGCTGAGCTCTGGTGTATTTTGATACCATAATTAGAAGATTGAGTTGTAGTCCCACTTCAGGACCTTTTTTAGGTGCAAAGTTGCAGTTAACACTGCAATATTATATCTTTGGATATAATGCTAAACCAAAACCCCATTTGTTTGTTCAGATCAATGTTTACACTGAACAAACACACCCGGACTCTTTAGTTGAAGTATATCGTAGAGTTTACCTAAGGTTTCACCATCCACTTCTCTCAACCAACCCCATGAAAACTAACACTTCATTTATCTCGTTGCTGTTTGTGAACCTTCCTATACTTACAGTGGCTACTATATTTCTCTGCATAATATGTTGTACTTACTACAATGTGTCTTGATAAATGGCATTGAAAAAGCAAGACTCGATTGCAGTTCACTTGGAGATGGTAAGAACTGCCAATGTTGGAGTCCGAGATAATTGTCCCTTTCCGAAGAAGGATCCCGACCTGCAACGTCAACTTTCCTGCTCCTCTGATGCTGCCGAGTCTGCTGTGCTCCTCCAGCTCCACACTGTGTTAACTCAATTGCAGTTGACTTAATTGATGAAATGGGAGGCAACCTTGAGTCAAACAGTATGGTTTGGCATATATGATCTATATTGTGGATATGTCTGAATGTCAGAAAACAAATGGGTTGTTGCAATATCACCAGAAGCAAAATTGAAAGCAAGTAAAGCCCGTTGTGCCGATAGTGAACTTCCCTTACTAATAAAGAAATTGTAGTTAATTATCAATTTTATTTTAAAACACCAAGTGTTTGAAAATAGTTTATTGTGCAAATTTACTTTGAGCTTTTTTCCAACTTGTTTTCTTTTGAGATTTGTCAAAACTTGAACATTTAAGGGCCTCTTCATGTGTGGTGAATTTTGTCCCTCACTGTCTTCCATATGTAAGACAATCGCAATTTATGTCAACAACTAGAAAACCAATTGGAAAGCCTTGTATCTAACTTCTAACTTGGCTTCCAAATGGGCGTTTGTAATGCCAGATGAGATTGTGGGCTTGACCTCTGCAGCAATGGCTTCTGTGAAGATCAGACTGTGTATTGATGGCAATGAGGCTCCCTTAAATCCTCTTTTTTTTTCTAAAGTTGTGTGAATGATAAAGACAGGACTAGGCAGATTCTGAATGGTGAAATCAATAACTTTAGTGATAATTTATCTCAAGGCTAAGGTGGTTTATGGTTGATGTATTATCTGCCTGTCTGGGTAATGAATACTGAAGTGGTTGATATGTCTGGAGACAATCCCATTGATAAGTTTGTTCGATGGGAAAGCAAACTTTGGTGAACTTTCTCGTCTTTGGTTTTTATTTATTGCTATAATCAGAATCCCCTTTTTTCCCTTCTTAAATTAGATATAATCGTTTTGTCAACAATGTTGCTTGGTTTACAAGTTGTATAGCTGTTGCTCCTAAACCAGCTTGTACGAAGATACTTAGTTAACTGAAAGACCATTTAGTTTATCAATTTGATTTATTTCACTTATCAGGTGCACCGGCATTCCAATGTACCCGCAGTTCCCTTTTCTACAGTCCTGTCAGCCAAGAAACCTGACTTCAAGCTTTATGAGGAGGAATCTTCACATGAAGAGACTATGTATGTATAAAATTAGTGACTGTTATTTGGATTGTGTTTCTCTTGACGTGTGTAAACCATCTCCTCAAATATCGACCGGAAAAGAAGCATCACACTAATGTATGGAAAGACAGTGAAACGAGTAGACATTCGCTGGGTGTGGATTGCTGATCTTGATTTGGGAAGAGAGGGGTGCATCCGAAGTTCCATCACCTGTCGTTATTTTGTTTCTCCTTTCAACTCTAGTTGCTCCATTTTCTTAAGGTTGGGGTTGCTCAACCAAAGTTTCCTTATTTTGAAAACTAATTTACAGTTGATCTTGGCTACCAAAACAATTTTGAAACTTTTAATATTTTTTCCAATCCTACTCCTGTAATTTTGATTCGGTAGAAGCAGAAAGTTGGATCAGGTTTTCTGTTCCAAACAATAGTTAGGATACATAGTTTGCAACAACCAAGAGTGAGAATCCAGAAGGCTGTTGCATTCTCAGTGCCAGGGTTTGGGACTTTTTTTTTTTCTGTAGGCTGGAGAGAGACTTGCAGTGGGAGGTGAAGGATCTATTTGTTGTGGCCTGTGTAGGTATTAATGGCAAATGTGTGACTATGCAGGAGATTCTACTTGGTGTCTGATCAGCTAGGGGCTAAATTTAAAAAGCAAAACCTCAAAGATGGTACTTTCCGGATCATTACATGAACCGCAAGCAAATTGGCATAGGGTATGTAAGATTACACAATTGAACATGTGGCTTAAAGTCAGTATGGGAGAAATGGGTTTTGATTCATGAAGTACTGGCATCAGCACTTGCAGAAAGTGGAAGCTGTACTGTTAAAATCATGTTCACCTGACCCTTCATGGGCCCAGTGTTCTTGCAAATTGTAAAAGTAGGATGGTAAGGAGGACACTAAATTAAATGAGAGTGAGGGAGGATGTGCAAAATTCAAGAGAATAGACAAGGTCAACAAGGGATTATTAATCAATAATTATAGCGTGACATGGACAAATTTAAGACTGCACCAGCAGATTGAGTTGGAGGTTGCAAAAAACAGTAGAAAAACAGGACTAAAGGCTCTACCTGAATGAATTAGCATTCAAAACAAGACAGATAAATTGACAGTTCAAATAGAAATAAATGAGAGATTAGATAAATGATTGGAAGATTGCAAAAACATATTCAAAGGTATGTGACTTTTTAGAAGGATGGGAAGCTAGGAAAGGTTAGAAGGATAACTGGTAGTTTGAAGATGACATCAGTACAATAAAGTTGACCTGGTTTCTAAAGATAAAGATGTAGAATCCATTTGAGAAGAGATGAAAAGCAATAAGAGGAAGAAATCACTTTTGGATTATCAGAATGTTAGGTGAATGTTACGGGAAGAAATAAAGGGGTTTATGGGAAAGCTGCATGAATAATCATAGCTAATTTCTTATTTTACATCTAAATTAGACAAATCAGATTGGTAAATGTAGCCTGGAAATTGAGTTCAAAGATTCTTTGGACTAGTTTCTTAAAGAAGTATAGACTAGAGACCGAGGATTGATTAATGATTTTATTGTAAAAGTGCCTCTAAGTCGTGCTGATTGTAATATGATTCAATCCTGCATTCACATTGAGAAAAAGAAAAGTGGGTCTGAAATTAAATGTTTTCTGCTTGAATAAGACAGCTATGAAAGAATAAGAACAGAGCTAGCTAAAGTGATCTGGGAAATTAGGCTAAGGCTTGTAGCAGTTACATCTTGAATTAGGAAGAGAGGGGTGCATCTGAAATTCCATCACGTCCATTACGTTGTTTTCCCCTTTCAACTTGAGTTGCTCCATTTTATTAAGGTTGGGGAAGCTCAACCAATGTTTCCTTATTTTGAAAGCTAATTTATAGTTGATCTTGTCTACCAAAACAATTTTGAAGCCTCTAGCATTTACAGACATTTTAAGGAAATTTTTCACAATACTCAAATGATGCATTCCTTTGAGTGAAAGGCTCTAGGGAAAGGACTTTGTGTGGCTAACTAAGATCAGTATAGACTGTAAAATTGAAAGAAAAAGCAATTAGTGGCAGGTCAACATCTTTTTTTTTAAAAAAAAAAAAAAAAATTAAAGTATGGATAACAGCTAGCTAGAAATTTAAAACAGTAATATATTCTATAGAACTTTAAAAGGGAAAAGATTAAAGTGAATTGGCTTTGCTCTTCAAAGGTGATGGGTAAAAGTGAATAAATTGAATAAGTATTTTTCGGTCTTGACTATAGTTCCCTCCTTCCAAGAGGAGGATGTTAACCTTTAATTTTGCAGTCCACAGCATTATGGAATGAATTATTATAGCATTTTGATAACATGTCAATCCACAAGCATCCTGTATAATCCTACTTAAGGAATTAACAATTTTTAAAAATAAATGTATTGTCAAAGCTTTTCATCTTGCACTCATCAGGAAGAATCGGGAATTCTAAATTCCAAAACATCTCTCATTTTACCACAAGGATAACAGGTGTTGATGGTTAACAAATTGACTCTGCAATGGTGTGTTTAAATGCACAAGGCTTGGTTATGTTCTGTTTGACATTTGCAGAGAACAAGACCCTGTTAATGAATGTATGTTGCTTCTATCAACTGTGAATGAGCCACATTATGAGCTCAATTATTCTTTAATTAGTTGTTAATATAAGCGCACCCAGCTTTGTTAAGCAAGTGCTGCTAATCATGGAATACATCTAATGACAGATGTTTTGTTTTAAATTTTGCAAGTGCAGACAGGTTGAGTTTGCTCTGTACTCTGCCGATCACATTCAATGGAAGGAGCATGGTGTTTGATTCAATTAGCTGGTTGCTGGGGCACACCACCTCTACTTGGCAACACCCCAGCACTGTCATTTGTCCAAAAGATGTGACCTCCATACAATTGATGAACCTTCTGTACAAACTGCTAAATCCCTTTTCTTTACTATTAATTATTGAATGGAAATTTTGGGTTGTTTTGTTTGCTGTGAGTGCAAAATGATAAGCTTTTACAACATACCTTTTTTTTTCAGTAACTTGGTTATAACTTCTTTTGGTTTCACCTGGCTGTATAGTAATTTCCACTTCAATATAAATCCACAGTCTAAAACAGATTCTAGCTGATTTGTATTTAATTATATGTTGGGATTGTTGTACCACTCTGGGATATGGACCGTTCAACAAAGCGTGCATAAGCAAGGGTACGGTGTGTTTTTAAAGTTTCTGTTTTAAAGGTAACTTTTTAAAATATTTGTTTAAAAGTCAATTATATTCCCTCAGAGTTGAAATCCAAATTTTGGCACAGTCAATCCCCTTAACCAGAGGGTTCCATTCTTGAAGCCATGTGCGAGCCAATTTATATGCAGGACAATATAAAGTAGCCATTTGTAAGTACAGGAGATGTTAGCATGTCCAATCTTTGAAGTTACACCCGTGTGGGATAGTTTTGTAAGTTGGACATTTGTAAATCGGCAACTCCTGTATAATATTTCCATTGATGTGTTGCAGGACACCTCGTAAAATTGAGCCTTTGTTTCAACCAGTGTTGAGTGCTCGGAAACCCAGTAAAGAATTGAATCCATTGATTAGAGTACAGCTTCAAAATTGCAATGAAAATAAGGAAGTATCTATGTATTCAAAAGACCAGATCTACGCTGGACTGCGCGAGTTCTCTTTTGAAGAACTCCGAGCGGAGGAATTCAAAAAGAAATACAAGGCTCACCTTAAAGGTACAGTTGTTTTGACAGCCTTAATTGTCAATTTGCTGACCACATAAAAAAAAACTTGCATTAATATAGTAGATTTTACACTCTTGACAACCAGTTAATATAAGGCCCCACAAGAGAAATGAAATACAAGATCAGATACCATGTTGATTGAGGGTTTTATGTCTTAGCTGAAAGCTGGTACAGATGTATCAGTACACATTTTATGTTCAGTACTGGAGTGGGGCTTTAACCTGCTATCTGTTCATACAGAGGTGCTACAAATTAATCCAGGCAGAAGTTCACCAAGACTTTTGCAACAGCACCTTCCAAACACAAGACCACAATCACCAAGAAAGGCAAGGACATAGTTTATGCTCCAAAACACTCCTCATCCTGACTTGGAATTATATTGTTGTTCCTTCTGTGTCACTGAGTCAAAATCCTCGAACAGCTTACCAACAGCACTTTGGGCGTGACTATAACAGATGAGTGTGTAGCAGTTCATGAAGGCAGCTAATTGCCACCTTCTTGAAGGCAATTTGGGTTGGGCAGTAAATATTGGCCCTGTCAGCAAAACCCACATCTCATGAAGGAATGAAGAAACAAAAAACATATAATATTTGTTACTTGTTGAGAGTTTTGATCTAAACTGAAATTAACTTGCTGCAAAGTTGTAAATCTATAAATGCTCTGAATGCAATCACTAACTTTGTTGTAAGGGAGATAATGTGCCTTCTGATCATTATTATGCTACTGATTAGAATCAACACTTAATCATAGAATGGAGCCATCGTTTCAATAGGTATATGATCAGGTCGCCAAAGTTGTTATTTATATATATTAAACACTTTTCTCCCATTCTGACCTTTTTAATATCTGGTGACTTTTGCCTCTTAGCAGTTTGCTTTAAAGAAAGCAAAATAAGTCACCTTGTTGCTACAAAGCCAACATGCAGGGAAATAATGGGAATGAGATATGTGTTTGCTCATAGTTGTCTGTTTGGGTTTTTGTAGAATGTGATATTCATTTATTAAAGGATTTCATCCTTGTGGCTGGTGTTTTCCAGGTCACTTAGGTTTTCGGTCTATCTCTGTATTAACAAAGGAGAATATAATTATTAGATTAGTTGTCAAGAATGATAAAATCAGAAAGTGTAGCTTTCTTCAGTGTCCTTAATTTTCATGCACTTCTTCATTAGAGTCATAGTCATACAGCATGGTCTTTGGCACACCATGCCTAGCTGACCAACAAACACCAAACTACGTTAATCCCCTTTTCCTACACATGGTCCATATCCTACTGTACCCACACTAAGTGCTCTCAGATGCTTCTTAAATATTGCAATAGTACCTGCCTCCTCCTCCACCTTTTTAGGAAACTTATTTTTAAAAATATGCAACTGAATTACTTGTGACTGCTATCTCTATTTTGACAGTCTGACCAGGATCCTGTTTGTTAGTTTTAAAATTTGGTGGTCCTTCAGGTAACTTTGGATATTGTAGTCAACTTGGTGTAATGTGAAAAGTCTGATTTGTGTAGAGCCCAAACAACTTTAACCTGCAATAATGTGAAGAGCTGGTTACCACTGAAATTTAATGTCTACTAATTCGCCTACAACTTGGAAAAATAACACTTGTTGCCTGCCTGTTTTGTAGACCCCTTTCTCCCTTGCCCTGTGGCTGAAAGTTATGTTACTGTAATTGTGCCAGACAACTTAGTGGTGATTTTGTTTTAAGGCTTTGGAAAGAATTGAATGTGGGCAGCTTCTGTTCCCATTTCTTCTGCATTAGGCCCCAAATAATCAATTTAATTGTATACATTTGGTATACGCTGAATTTACAGTTTCTCAAAGATGAAAGGAACATGCTCTGACCTGGTCACTTTCTATTTTGATGATGTTCTGAAATGCTTCTGTGAGTCACGCTTGTTTGCAATCCTACAGTTGGCAATAGAATAGTTATGACTATCTTGTATATTTTATGCAGAACAAGAAGAGAAATTGTTGAAGTTAAAGCAAGAAAAGGAGGAGGTGGAGCAATTGATCCACATGGCAGAAATGAGAATGAAGGAGCAGCGGGAGCATAACCAACTAGAAACACAACAGGTCTGTTGACCAAAGAGATATAGTGACTACCTGATTATTAAGATTTACTAATCCAGCCAGCTAATAAAACTAATTCAAATATCATTGAATGTCAATTGGTGAATTAAATACTCAGCTAACCAATCCAATGTGCTTCTACTTTGATTGGCGATTGCATATATGGGTTATAATGGATATACTCATTTAGTACTATTAGCAATCCTGGTTTCAGCACTTACATTGCAAATAATTTGTTGCCAGTGATTGAAGGTTAATGTAGCCATTTTGTACCAGGACCCCCTATCCAGTGGGCAGTGAGTTGTATAAATGCTGATCAAGAAAAATGAGACATAAATAAACCTTTAATTTGTGGCCCAGTTTTTAAAAGAAAAAGTATGTGATGTGGAACTAAATGCTTATCCTGAAGTATGACACAGGCTTGTAACTTAACTCTAGTTAATTACATTCCCTCGTATTGTTTGGCGGGATGGCACATAACCCATGAAAAATTTAAATGAATCAAACAAGACAAAACCACAAGATTTCATTACCTTGCATGGAGGGGCATGTCTGGAAATACTCCCCAGAACCTTTTTTTTGTTACATGTTACTGCATTTCCCATGATGTTCAGTGTGAACAATGAATGTGGGTATGATTGAAGTAAATAATCAAGAAAGTGCCCTACTGAATTTTATTGAAAATTATTTTACTTAAACCTCTTGCTCTCCCATGAGCAGCAATCTGTTATGTTTTGTATCAAAAACAGAAAATAATAGACAATGACTTGCTTTATTTGTTATGGGATCCTTCCGCTCAGCTGTGGGTAGAATTGGACACCACTTTTTCCAAATGTGTAACAGGCCTGTGCTCACCCTGGACTTTAAATGTCCTAGATGTATGTTTTCCTGCAGAGTTTAAACTCTCTGCTTTCAAAAGTGGTAGGTTGTGGTTCTAATAGTCTGTAGACCTGTTGTTTTTTTTAATTGATACTGGAGAAAATATTTGGTATTCTGATGAGCTAAAATAATTGGACCTACCTGAATGTGTCTGGTACTATTCTTGGTCCTTACTATGGTAATGAATGTGGGAAGTCTAATCTCTGATGCAGTGATTTTTTTTTTTTTTTTTTTCTTTAGTAAGAAAAATTTCTCCTTGCGGTTGATATGTACAAATCATGGTATTTTGTAGATGCATAATGAGCACTAGTTAGTATTATTGAAACACTTGACAGGGCCTTATGGCTACTAGCAGGTTGTCTTGCCAGGATCTCCACTCTACAATCTGCATTGCTGTGTGTGAGAAGGGAAGATTCTCTGGTTGGGGAAATTAAAGGGCTGCAGGAAATAAACGTACAGCTCACATGTACACAGTGAGTCGCAAGGTGATTAACCTTGCTACAAAACCATGAAATACTGTAATTTCATTTGCATCACTTAAGATGCAACTTTTAACTTGGCCAGATGTTCTTTAACTGGAAATTGCATTACAGTGTCTAACTTTCTAATTTATTTGTGTAGAATCTGAAGTGTTTTCATATTTACGGTTTAACTGTGACTTCTTGCATGTCAGACAGTACAAACAAGTGACGACACAGAGCTAAGCAATCTCATAATGAACGGATCAGATCTAAGCTCTGCAGTCCTGTTAAGTCCAGTTGTGAATGGTGGTGGACAACCAAACAATTCAGTGGAGGCGGTAGCTCCACAAAATCCCCATCCTCAATGATGGAAGAGCCCAGCACCATTGCAAAAGATAAGGCTGATGCATTTGCAGCAGTCTTCAGCCAGGAGTGCTGAGTGGATGGATGGTGTCATCAATAGTGCCATCAAGCCTCAACTGCTCAGCAATAACTTGCTCCGTGACTCCCAGTTTGGGTTCCACCAGGGCCACTCAGTTCCTAACCACACTACAGCCTTGGTTCAAACGTGAGCAAAAGAGCTGAATTCCAGAAGTGAGGTGAGAGTGACAGCCCATCACATCAAGGCCTCAATTGACAAGGAGCCCTAGCAAAACTGGAATCAATGGGTATCGGAAGCAGTTTCTCGACTGGTTGCAGTTATACCTGCCATATAGGTCAGTCATCGCAGGTTAATGTGTATTCACTTTCTTTATAAAAGTACACATCATATCTTGTGTCGTAGACTCCTGGTAGCATAAAGCCAAAACACTGCTGGAAATCAAAAACAATCAAAAACAAACAAAATGCTGGAGAAACTCAGCAGGTTTGGCAGGACCTGTGGAGAGAGAATCATTTGCTGTTTCAAGTCTAGTAGGATTCTTCAGAATTTCAGAACGACTTTACTTAAAGAGTCATATCAGACTCAACATTAACTCTTCCTTCCTCTCCACAGGTGCTGCCAGACCTGAGTTTCTACAGCCTTGTGTGTTTGCCTCTGGTAGCATATCTAGGTTGACTAAATAAGTAGTCCTAGTCCAAACCAGCCAAAAAAAAAAAGTTTTTGTTTGAAATATTCTGTTTATTCTTGCTTTTAGAATGAAGTAATTAATAACTCGGTGCCATGGTCAGCGATCACTACTAGGGAATTTGGCACAGAAATCAATCCTTCAGAAAGGAATGCTGAAGATCCTGATAGGAATGGGTAAATACATTGTATTTTAAGTTCCTTATCCTTTCTTTGTACTTCAAATAGTTTGTGAAGCAAGAATGGAATACCATTTTAAGCTGCTGGAATTGTTTCTTCAGTACATTCAGTAAAGCCTTTTAAAGATGGTGGATGAGCTACCAATCTAACAAACTGTCAAGATCATACCAGCTTGAGCTTACTGCCAGTTGTTATTTTCTTGCAATGGAACTTCTGTTTTTGGGTTTGGTTATCCAAGAGTTATTGTGAATCTCATCCTTACTTAGCTGCTCCATTTCCTTTTTCTTGACATTATAAATAGAAATCTTTGTAAAATTGTCACTGAATTATGTTAATTTACTTCTCAACTGGTTCTTGATCAGTTCTGTAGCTGATTCACCTAGAAAGCCATGTATGATCAATTGCAGGTCTGTTCTTTTATTCCAGCTGTAACCAAACTAGCTCCACTGATATCTCATGATACGTAGATCCTGTTACTCAGTTTGAAGATTTGTAAACCTTTATGCGATCAAACTCTTTCTTTCACGATAGTCATGGGTAAGGATAGGTACATACAGCAGGGTAAAGTTTATAATTGGGGGAGGGGTAATTACAATTCATTTAGGCAAGAACTGGTTAACATAAATTGGGAACAGATGCTGTCAGGGAAGAGTACCACAGAAATGTGGAGGTTGTTTAGGGAATGCATACTGCATGTGCTCGATATGTTTGTTTGTCCCTAACAAGCAGAGAAGATGCGGTCGAGTGAGGGAGCCATGGCGCTCTTGAGGTCGAACAACTGGTTAAGAGGAAGGAGGAGGCTTATGTAAGGTTTAGGAAAAGAGGAATGAAAAATGCTCTGGAGGGATACAAGTTAGCCAGGAAGGAGCTGAAGAAAGGGCTTAGGAGAGCTATAAGGGGGCGTGAGAAAACCTTGGCGGATAGGATCAAGGAAAACGCCAAGGCTTTTTACACGTATGTGCAGAACAAGAGAATGACCAGAGAAAGGGGGCCGATCAAGGATTGTAAAGGGAATTTGTGCACAGAGCCTAAAGAGATAGGAGAGGTCCTTAATGAATACTTTTCCTCAGTATTCGCAACTGAGAGGGACCTAGTTGTAGAGGAGGACATTGTGAAACAGGCAGGTAGGCTAGAGGAGGTTGATGCTAGGAATTCTGAGGAAGTTTAAAAATAGCTAAGACCCCGGGTCTGATGGGATTTATCCAAGGATTCTATGGTAAGCGATGGACGAGATCGCAGGGCCTTTGGCGATGATCTTTTCATCCTCACTGTCCACGGGTATAGTGCCGGAAGATTGGAAAGAGGCAAACGTCATTCCCTTTTTCAAAAAAGGGAACAGGGATAACCCCAGAAATTACAGGCCAGTTAATCTTGCATCAGTGATGGGCAAATTATTGGAAAGGGCTCTGAGAGACCGGACTTATGATCGCTTGGAAAGGCACAGTTTGATTTGTGATAGTCAGCATGGATTTGTGAGGGGTAGATCATGCCTCACAAACCTTATTGAATTCTTTGAAGAGGTGACCAAACACGTGGATGAAGGTGGAGCAGTGGATGTGGTATACGTGGATTTAAGTAAGGCGTTTGATAAGGTTCCCCACGGTAGGCTCGTGCAGAAGGTAAGGAGGCATGGGATAGGGGGAAATGTGGCAGATTGGATTCAGAATTGGCTGACCCTTAGAAGACAAAGGGTGGTAGTGGATGGAAAATATTCAACATCGTGCTCTATTACGAGTGGTGTACCACAAGGATCTGTTCTGGGTCCTCTTCTATTTGTGATTTTTGTAAATGATTTGGATGAAGGAGTGGAAGGGTGGATTAGCAAGTTCGCGGATGATATGAAGGTGGGTCATGTTGTGGACAGTGCGGAGGGCTGTTCTAGGTTATAAAGGGACATTGATAGAATGCAGAGCTGGACTGAGAAGTGGCAGATGGAGTTTAACCCTGAACAGTGTGAGGTGATTCATTTTGGAAGGATAAACTTGAAAGCAGAATACAGGGTTAACGGAAAGATTCTTGGCAGTGTGGAGGAGCAGAGGGATCTTGGGGTTCATGATCACAGTTCCCTGAGAGCTGCCACCCGGGTGGATAGAGTTGTTAAGACGGCGTATGGTGTCTTAGCTTTCATTAATAGAGGGATTGAGTTCAAGAGCCGTGAAGTTATGCTCCAGCTATGTAAAAGCCTGGTTCGGCCACTTCTGGAGTATTGTGTCCTGTTCTGGTCACCTCATTACAGGAAAGATGTGGAAGCGTTAGAAAAGGTGCAGAGGAGATTTACCAGGATGTTGCCTGGAATGGAGGGAAGGCCTTACGAGGAAAGGTTGAGAGAGCTAGGGCTTTTCTCTTTAGAATAACAAAGGATGAGGTGACTTGATAGAGTTGTACAAAATGATCAGAGGTATAGATAGAGTGGACAGCCAGAGACTTTTTCCTAGGGTGGAGGTAGTTTTTACGAGGGGACGTACCTTTTAAAGTGAAAGGAGGTAGATATCGGGGAGACGTCAGAGGTAGGTTCTTTACTCAGTGGCAGGGGAGTGGAATGCATTGCCGGAAAGGGTAGTGGAGTCGGCCTCGTTAGGGGCATTTAAGCTGCTATTAGATAGGCATATGGATGATAGTGTAAGGTAGCGGTGAAGGTTAGAAAGACCTTTAGGTTTAGGGTAAAAGTTCGGCACAACATCGTGGGCCAAAGGGCCTGTACTGTTCTATGTTAAACCTCTTGCAGTGTGGATGGAAACCATTTGCCAGATAAGCCTTTCCCCAATCTTTCCCAAAAGTTCGGTCTTTGAGTAATTAAAACAGATTAATTGTTTTATGTATAGTAATGACATTAAGGGATATAAAAATACAATAGGAAAATGACTTTTGAGGTCCATGATTTGAACTGACAGACCAAGCTCCAAGGGCTGATGGCTACTCCTATTTCTATATTCTGTCCTTTTTATTTTCTGTTGGTCTACACATTCATTTCCTCTTGTTGTGAATTCACCAATAAAAATCTGTTTTCTCCAATTTTCCTTAGGTTTGTTAGGCTGGTTCTGGGTATGGAGGCATTTCCTTATGCAAAGAGGGTTATGTAGGTTGAGCTTATACACCATTGGAGTTTAGAACGATGAGAAGCGACCTTTATTGAAACACTCATGATTCCTAGGGGGCTTCACAGTGTAGACGTGGATAGGGTGTTTCCCCTTGTGGGAGGATCTAGGACCAGAGGATATCATTTTAAGACTGAGGTGAGGAGAAATTGTTTCTGCAGAGGGTAGTGAATCTGTGGTCATTCTTTAACGTGGAAGACTGTGGATGCTAGGTTATTGAGTATTGATTTATTTTTTGATCAGGGAATCCACGGTTATGAGGATAGAGCAGGAAAGTGGAGAGCAATGGATGGATAAAGATATTGAGCTTCTAGTCAAGAATAGAAAAAAAAAATCATAGAAATAAATAACTGGGTTCAAATGAATCTATTCAACAGTATAAAGTGTATAGGGGCATTCTTAGCAGGGAGATCAGGAAGGCAAAGAGGATAGGAGAGAGCCTTGCAAAATAAGGTTAAGGATAATCCAAAGAGATTCTACAAGTACATTTAAAAGCAAGACAGCATCTAGAGAGATAGTAGAGCCCCTTAAAGATCAAAGACATTGTTGTTGTGTTGAACCTCAGGAGAAGGGAAAGATATTACATGAATGTTTTGTCAGTTTTTACTGTGGAGCAAAAAAAGAGGCTAGAGAACTAAGGAAAATAAATATTGATGTTTGACAGTTTATATTACAGTGGTGAAAATGCTGGAGGTTTGAAAAAAATATAAAGATGGGTAGATCTAGTGTGTCCCAGGACTTTGTGGGAAGTTAGGAAATTACAGAGCCCCTTGCAGCAATATTTGTAGCACCTATAACTACAGGTGAGGTGCTGAATGATGGAGAGTGGCTAACCTTGTGCCTTTGTTTAAGAAGGGATGTAAGAAGCCTGGGAGCTATAGACCTGAAAGCCTGACTTCTGTGGTGGGTAAGTTGTTGGAAGTGATGGCAAGGAATGTTTAGGGATAGTCAGCATGGTTTTGTGCAAGGGGAAATTATATGTCTCAAACTTGGTTGAATTTCTTGAGGCAATTTCTTAACCAAGAAGATTGAAGGTAGAATGGTAAACCATTGTTTACCTAGACTTTATTAAAGCCTTTGACCAGGTTGCACGTGGTAGACAAATTAGTAAAGTTAGATCACCTGGGATTCAGGGTGAGCTTGCCAGTTGGATATAAAATTGGCTTAATGGCAGGAGACAGTGGTATTGGAAGATTGTGTTTTTCAGGCTGGAGAAAAGACCTGCCTGATGAGGATCGGTGCTGGGTCCACATTTTATATAAATGATTTAGATGACAATATAGAAAGCACGGTTAGTAAGTTTGCGGATGACACCAAGATTGATGGTGTAGTGGCCAGTGAAGAAAGTTATCTGTGATTATGAAGAGGTCTTGATAATTGGGTCAATAGGCTGAAAAGTGGCAAATGGAGTTTAATTTGGATAAATGTGAGGTATTGCATTTTGGCAAAACAAACAAAGACAAAACTGGCACAAGTAAAGGTAGAGCCTTGGACAGAGGGACTTAGAAGTTCAATACATAATTCTTTGAAGTTTGCATCACTGATGGATCAGGTGGTTAAGAAGGCGTTTAA